ACAGAACACAAAAGAACCTCAAAAGAACCTTAGGTGAACTTCTTACCACGGTCCCCCCTTTCGTCGTGAAGTCGACGTGGGTCCCACGCCTTAAGCAGAAACTTGGTTGACTCCGGAAGTACAAGGTCGGGGAGCTTCGACAAACCGTCCGCGATGTAAATCCTAGCCACCCTGTGGCTGGCCCACCTGCCTTTAAGCAGGGCGAGTTCCATGGAACCTGTTGACTGTAGGAGCCATGTGGCCCCACCCCGACGCATGGAGTAGGGGCGAAAGCCCAGGGATTGGATCTTGAACCGCTTCAAGTACGCGTCAAAGTGCGACCTAAATGCCTGGCCCGAGAACTCCCACAATCGGTGAGACAGCGCACCATGGGATGCGAGCACGTCTCGTGCAGTCTGTACCACCATGATGGTGAAAAGATCATCTGTTGTAACCATTTCATCAGCAGAATTGCGTTGACCAGTCTTGGTATTCTTTAAAGACACCACTACCTGAGAGCTGTTGACCAGCAGGTCAGAACCACGCAGATTAAGGAGTTCCCCTGTACGTAACAGGGTAAAGAACCCAAGGCACAACAAGCAGCTGAAGAAGATGTCATGATGACATATCCCATAGTATGCCATGCTTAAGATGATCTCCCGAGTGATGGGAGGTGCACGGGCCGGCCACTCAAGCTTCCGCCACGTGGCGAAAAGACGCCAGGCCGTTGGAATCTTCCTCTTGGTGATCGGTTCAAAGAAGTGGAGGCCAGATAGTGCATTGCCCACTGTATACAATGATTCGCCGTCCTCCCAACAAAGTTCCACCCATTCTGCCACAGCTGTATCAAGCTCTGACTCACTCTGAATATTTTCAATGAAGGGAAGGAGCAGACGAAGGGCTACAAAATAGGCAATCCTGGTTCTGATACTAACTCCGGCTTCTCTGAGCTGTATGCCTCTTCTTTCAGTGCGTCTCTCTGTACGAGTCCTCCTATGGATCACCCTAACTCCGGCTCGCGGCATCTGTCGGATTCTCTGTGCTCTCAACGTGAGCCAGAACTAAGAAAATCCCATGGACGAGGAGGTGTGCATTAAGAACTTTGAGCAAACGATTCAACATTATGCTGCTAGAACGTCCTTTTGAAACAACACTGATGGTGACATATGAGTCGCTCAAGTGGAAAATACGGCGTTGAGACCACTTTTCGGAACGAATGCCTCTCATGATAGACAACATCAAGGCCTTGAGCTCTAACTGATTGATGTGCTGCGGTTTAGGCCATCGGACTTTGAAACCGTCCTTCCACAACCACCATCCGGCCGAGATCGACTGACGCGGGAATGCTTTGGGGTTGATCAACTGTCCAGTCACCACTCTAACATCACTCCCTGTAAAATTGGTGCGAGCAAGAAGCATCTGGTTGAGGTCTTTAACCCCCACTGCATCCTGAGCTTCTGCAAAGTGACGGCATCCATATTGCAGTGTTTGACACAAAGGAATTTGAAGACGGAAAGAAGCTCTAAAACCTGGCGCCATACCCATTCTCCTACAAAGGTGACTGTAATGCACTTTGGGGATCCTATTCCGACACAATGCAGCTCCAACAATACTGAATGAAAACATGCTAAAAGCATCTCCCACCAAAGAACATTTTTCTCTTTCGTAACCAGCGGGATCCGCTTTGATCCTACTTGCGGGCCACGCCAGGTCACAATGCCCACAACCGTAACCCATCAAGACCTGTCTCTCACTGCTGTTAGTAAGGCGCCATCTGTCATCCTTCCACAACAAGAACTCTGACCGAAATTGGTATGGGGGGTAGACAAACCCAGAGACTTCCCACCTTGTCTGGCAGTCACGATCAGCTCGGGACAAACCGGCCGGTTGTGGGGGAGGTGAGTCCTTCCAAACGGCCCTCATACATGTTGGAAAGGCTTTAGCTGTATGCTCCCCTGGCCACTCGAAATTGTCTGTAATCCACTGATCAACCGAGGGGTAGACCGAAGGTGCAGAAACCGTGAGCCACCTACGGTCGGGGGTCACCTTTATCCCTTCAAGACAACCCTCAATCGACTCTGTGGTCCAACATAGGCGAGGGCGACGCAAAGGGACTGCATCAACTGAATCCAAGAAATGTGGTTGCAGCCCCATCCATTGACTGATTTCGCGGCATGCTGACTCGTCCATGGATGCGACGTTCTCTGCCACTATCTTTGTGGTGATGTGTTCCGGAAATTCTTCTGTGATCAACTCCCAAATACGCAGGAACTCGAAGAACAGGGAGCTTTGGGACCCCGCCAAATTCTGACGATTTGCCCTTGCGGAGCTCAAATCCCGGCAAGGAAAACCACCCCAGAGGTGGACTTCCTCAACCGTATGGAATTCTCGAGCCCAGGATTTGACTGTCTCACGAGAAATCTCTGTCACATCCCGCAAAATACTTGCGGCAGGCCATCGCCGACTCACAATTCGGTTGGCAGGTGGATGTATGTCCACAGCAACCATGCCCCTGGGCAAGACGTCCAACAAGTCATACACCCTAAAGGTGCCACCAATCCCTGAAAAGAGTGCAATGACCAAGATCGGGCAAGTGCCGAGAGTTCTGCTTGAAATCTGACTCGAGATCACAAAGTCCTTTCCTTCAATGCTGAGTGCATGCGAAGAACTTACCGCTCCGCCCCGTTCTGAGGCATCACTGCACCATGTTACACAGTCCACTTCTGCCCCAAAATAGGTGTGAAGGAGGGGGATTGAACCCAGGATCAACATGAACTCACGTTTGGTCTGAAGAGCCAACAACTCCCCCGCACTATCCTTGTTGATGAATGCCCAACACTTGTCGAGAAAGCTCATCCCAGGACGCCTGAATTGTAACACATGCACCCATCTTCCAGCTACCACCTGTACTTGTTTCTTAAGCAGAGGCTTCTGTGCCACTAACCACAAAGTCGACTGAACAAGTTTACACAACCTACTCGGTGAAGCGCCAACCAACCCAATCTTACCTTGAAGAAGTGCACCTAGTTCCTCAGTCTCCTGACTATCACTCACCTTCTTTTTATCAGCCGAGATAATTCCATGACTCTTCCACGTGCGTTCGCAAATCTCATGCACCTGATCTCCTACCAAAGAAACATCACCTTCCACACGTTTGTCACCCCCCATGAAATTATCGAAGTAAACCTGCCAGAAACATCTATCACTGCGCACCGACTCCTTGGCCGCCCTGATCAATGCAGCCGGTACGGGTTGACCCCGTCTGACCTGGCTCTCCGGCCTCAAGCCTTCTTGCCATAAGATGGTCTCAGAGACCTCCTGCATCAGACTGACTGAACTGTGCATCCCCATGGGTAGGACTCGACATGCGAGTTTGTACTCAGTGCCTTCCACCCAACGACTCACGTCAAAGGCCAGGAGTCTAAGCCAACATCTGGGCATGGAGAAAAGGTAGAAGGCTGAAGAGATGTCCGACTGGTAGAAATGGAATCCTTCTTTTCCCTCCAATAAGGCTGCTTGCCAAGCCGTAATGGCAGGCAAGCCATCAACTGCTCCACGAATCTGATCCATCACAGAATTAGTTGCCTTTAAGTTCATGATGACACGGAGAATTGGTCGGCCATCTGCCAGTTTAGAGGGCTTGCAAACTCCAAACAAGCCGTTCAAGACACGCACTCCATTGATTGTGAGAACTTCTGAGGCAGGGAACCACTCACAAATTCCCCGTTTAACCAATTCGTCACAAACCTGCTCCCTTTCACCTTTACCAAAGTGAACCGACCCCGGGACCTTAGGTCGGGGATGTGAAAAATCAGATCTAATCAAACGCTCGGGATTCTCCAACAGTTCACGGGTTGCGTCCGACACCAACCCAACCAGCGGAATCGACCCTCCGTGTCCTAACGGCGGCAACGCAGGAACGACCTGACACAAAGTAAGGGGCTCACACACTCCGGTCTCTTCCCCATTGTAGTCCACCCGTGCTGCTTTCAGCTCTTCGCCCACTTTTTCAAAGGGGACGATCGCTCCGCCGTGACAGCTAAGCAGTCTCTTGACAAAGCTCCTGGCGGCCGATGCTCCTTGCCTCTCCAGCGCCGTCCACTTCCCGGCAGCCAGCGGTTTCACACCACCCGCAAGGCCACTAGTTGCATGGAGAGCTAGCAAGACCCATGAGTCCTCGGCCCACCTTGAAGCGAAAGCCTCACTGCTCGCCTCCTCAATGGTGACTTGGCTCAACATTTCAAAAGCTCCTTCTAAGTCTCCTCTTCTCAAAGGGAACGTGGCAGCTCTAGAAGGCCCCACGTATCCAGTTGCGGCTTTCTCAAGGTCAAAAATCACTTTGGACAACCAACGCCAAGCTCCTTTCTTCTCAGTCCTCATGGCTTGAGCCAGCATCCATGCCAGTAGGGTTCCAGCATTCTCGAGATTGCGAATGCGGCCTCCAACCGCCCGAAGCAGCTCTTGCCCTGTGCCAAATTCTGTGAAACTAGACGACCTCTGAACTGCCATCTCCTCTTCCTCACCTGTTCCCTTCACGGGACGCTCAAGGGACCGCAGCTCAGGGGCCTCTCTTGAAATCTCAGCAA